AATCTGTTACGTACGTTAACAAGGTGGTTCAAATAGTCCGTGGATGCGATGCTTAAGCACAAATACGAGTGATAGTATGCGAATCCTTTGTATTTTATTATGCAATTCTCATGCGGCTCTGAGTTTTTAAGGTTGTATGTAAAATGAAAAAATTAGGTGTAAGTAACTGTGTTTGCAGTCTGTGTATTTTTTCGTAGTAGCACATAAAGCGGTAATTTTAATTTTAAGAACCGTACGCTTGCATGGTTTAATATTTTATATAGAGGGCGTGGTTCGCATGCGAAGTGTACTTTGCTTACCCAGTGCAGGTTGTAATTACGCATTATGCAAGACTCATAATTCTCATGGTAATCGCCATGCAGTTCGGTTCAAATTTAAATATTACGTAAGTACACACGATCGCCCTAGTATAGACATGTTTCTAAAAAAATGTAAAGAAGAAAGTATGTGACGTCAGACTTGGGTAGTTATAACATATAACTTGATAACGTAACACGCGTTACTGGTAAGTTTTTTGAGTTTTAACGAAACTTTGAAGCGTAACTCGCAGCTAAAAAACTTAACTCTGACGTAACGCATAGAAATCATATGTATTGTCTAGCAAACTAAAAACACACCAATAAATGCGAAAAACAAATAAGCGTACTGGGCTGTGTTATCATAAAAGTTGAACAGTAACGCACGTATATGTTGCGTCAACAAAGCGTGTTTACGTTGCGACATTTTATAATTATCAGCAGCGAAAATGGCCGATTCCTAAATTACTAACACACATTTATTAACCGTTTCTTGAAATGAAGACCTGCAGAAGAAGGTAACTGTACTACCGCATTTTTTACATTTCCCTAATTTAGTTCAAGTGCATGCTGTCTTTGCAGTTTTTACTGCATATACGAAAAAGGTGCACCTAACTTACACTCATTCTTTTATAAACCCACTTATATGTTTCCCGTTAAGAAAACATAAAGTAGTTTGGTATATTGCCAATAAAAATGAAAGTTTTGCACGTGCAGAATGCGTGGCCATAAGTACGTGTTTGTGCATTTGATATTGGGTAATGGTCAACAGCTATAACCTGAACCTGATTAAAAAAGACATAGAACTCAAAGTGTGAGTTTAAATAATTAAGTAAATTAAAACGCTTAATTCCGGCATCAAATTATTTTAGACATTAATGTGAAATGAGATACAAAAAAGTAAACTTTCTCTATTGAGTTCTCTACATAAGTTGATTACATGGAATAAATACAGGGGTATGGGCACTATGTGTATTTTTTCAAATGGTTAGGTTGATGTACTACAGGTACATAGTACATACATGTTATGAACGTTGATTTTAAGCGTTTAACCATGTTAAGAGTAGGGAGGTTTTAAACGCAATTTGCACTGCATGCTGCATTAAATTAAATTACGTACCATGTAAAAGACGAGGAATGAAAAACGTAATTACTTTTGAGAGATTACACCCCGTTCACGCCAAGTTGGCGGTGTCCATTTAAAAAATTCCCATGAACCACTAGACAATATATTTAACGTTTTCTAACTTTTATGGGATCACTGAATCTATCCAACACCATTTGCAATTTGGGTTTCCAGGATTTGAGCTTGTTACGAATTACAGGAATTTTTAAACTAGAGAAGACCACTTTCAAAATGTGCTGCAGTCCAGCTATCTCGGTTTCTTTCCTCTCACATAAAATTCGTTTTAAATTCCCGTTTATGACGTAGTCCTAGGACGCCATGTCTGTTAACTTGGCCACTTGATGCCCCTCCTGGGTCGGGGCACCGGCATAACGGTGGGCGTGGCCAAAGTGTGGGACGATCTCCTTTGCGAGGTCACCATGCAGCCGAGGGAAGTCCTCCTTGAACATGCACCACAAAATACGATTCACGAGGTGTTAGGCGTTAACTTTTTCACCACCATCTTCAGCATAAGCGCGCCGCCCTCCATTGTAACTGTTTTCAATGGACACCATCCCTTTTTTCAACTAGCGCTTTGTTCTGGCGAAAAAGCGATTTCGCTCCCCTAGGCGTTTTGCAGGTTCGGTCTAGTTGTTGACGTCTGGTTTTTTTTCACGAATCACTCTGTTGGGGGTCCTCAAATTGACCTCAATTTCAGGTGCCTAAAGTCGTTTCGGAATTTCTGGTTGAATTAAATTGTGTTTCAGCACTGCCATGACTTGTTCCCTTGGTGCCTTCGCTTCGGGAAGTGTTTCTGGCAACACCCCAACCCAGTTAAAACAATCTGCTCAGCTTGTTAATAATTAGATCGCGCTGAATTAGACGTACAACCTTTTGTATAGAACATTTTTTAGGAAAGCATTGCACGTGACGCTTGGTTATAAAATGGTTATGCATTACATTTACGCAGTCTAAAACGCAATGAGATTTGACGACGGTTTAATTTGAGGCCTATGGATTAACTATCTTATATTAAGGAGAGTGAGCAGTCTGTTTTCACTGTTTAAAGTTTCAATCATTTTAAATTTGTTTTCAATTTTGCAAACTTTAATTCGGAATTTATTACATTCCAGTGCTGTGACTGCTCAAACTGTCAGCACGCATCATTTTAATTAGTTTCTGCCAGCGCAAGGTCATTGTTATGTGAACTGGCCATTGCCGAATTAAAAAATATACTATCTTATGCCACAACAATTGCAATAAAATTTCAAATAATTATAATGTTGCGTATGAACTATCAAAGCAACTACGCACTGAAAATAATTACGTTATGGCTGCGTGCACGGGTAACTCATTCAAATTTTTATATTAAATTTAAATAATATATAATTTAATTATAATTTTTTTATATAATTATTACTTATGGAAACTTACTCACTTAACCCATAATTTTTCAACGAAAAAAACAGTTAAGTACCTACAGCAAGTAGAAAAATGTACTGCGAAACTTGCTGTGCATAGCAAGTACAGTATATGTTACTACCTAATGGGCCAGGTCAATTGCATCTGGGTAACCACTGCGCGTCGGGTAACGGAGAAACGTGTAAAAATCTATCGTCCAATCGTAAGTCGAGTACGCTTCCGTCGCAAAAAAGAAATTGAACAACTGAAAAACTGAGGTGGAACCGAAAATTTCATTTTTGATGCTTTAATGTGGTACTACATCAAAAAAGTTAATTCTAAGTTCAGGAGTGTCAATCTGGGTCGCTGGATGCACTTTTGTTTCAACCAAACAAAAATTTTGTTGATCTGTGCAGGGGAGTTACGAGTTACTCGTAGTTTGGATAACGGTTGCGCTTTGATTTCGAAGCGCAACGGTTACACGCACGGGTAAGCTGAAAACACATCCCAGAATTCTGGTTTACCTATCAAATCGTTTACCAGCTTACGCGCCGTGACGATTTTTTACCCGACTGCCGCTTGCGCGTCGCGTAAGACTTACACAGAGCCATTGACCTGGACCAATGCTTGTTAGTGCAGTACCATGAAGTTCTTGAAAGTCGCAGAAACAACAGCCGAAGACGTGAGAATTTCTGTAATGCAGCCATGGCTACCGCGTTTGTTTTCCGGATGGATCATGGAACGGTCTTTTTTGAGCAGGGTCTGATGCGAACACGCTTGGTGGCCGCCTATGAACCATGCAGTTGACACCATTTCTACTTGCATCAAGCCGCATAGAAATAATCTGAGCCGTAAAACGAAGTATCTGTAACTATTTTTAAATTATGTATGGCACATGAAAAAATACGTCAGAAACCGGTCGAAAAACTGTTGCGGTTGAATAAGACCAAAAAAACTATAAATGTTACGACCGAAATTTAAAAATCATAAAAACAGTAAAAAGCCGTGCCCCAGCCAACACCCGTACGGATCCCCACAAAGGTCACCCGTGCAAACAGCGAATACCCGTGTCCCAACTCCGTGCACGCAGCCAACAACCGTGTTTCCCCGTGCACGCAGCATCGACCAAATAATTATGATCGAAGACATTGTGATTATTAACTGGAAAGTACTGTAACCAGATCGAAAGTGAATAATGGACTATAGCGGTTCAGCGGTTGCGAATCAGTTGACTGCTATTAGCGGGCGGAATGAAATTTAAAATGCGCAGAATGAGCGCAAATAATCTTTGGGGATATATCTGAGCAAAGTTTGATTGGTGGCTGTTCAGGTAAAAACTAATAGAATTTCTCAGAAAACTGTTCAAAAAACAAAACTTTCGAAGTAAAATGTCACATTTTTAATGTCCAAGGTTTTTTTCGGTCTACGCATCGGAAGTACTTAAAAGTTAAATGTACACATAAGAATTGTGAAATCATGGATAGCTGAGAGCCTGAGAGTATTATTATTTTATTTACTAGCGTTATTACGTCAACGTCATATGCAACCTGCGTCTTAATAGAACCCGAATGGACAATTTGCAGTCCTTTCAGCTGCCCGTACTTTTAAACCGTCTTTAGTCAGCAAGAAAGTTGCTCATTTTAACTCCGTGAAAAGTCACAGATACTGTGCTAATAAATATTGTTAACTTACCTGTAACGCAACTTTTTGTCAATAAAAAAAATACTCTCTGAGTTGTACAGCGTAGGGTGACCTTCTCTTTCAGAAGCATAGCACATCCGCAGAGAGATTCCAAAGGCAACGATGTATTTATGGAAATAGCTACTATACGATTAATGGAGAAAACGATTTTCAAACTGCAATGCGCTTGTTTATATTGCCTCGCTGGCCCCATTCATTTTTATGGTTGCTCATTACATGGACTTTATACATCCACTAGATCCGCTACACAGGCAATAACTGAGTGATAGTCATTATAATCCTGGTACAGATGTAGCCTTATCATTTTTGTACTGATTTCCCTATCTTTTTATACTGATTTCAAAGTCACAAGTACAGTACAAAAAAGTTGATTATGAGCTGCATGCAAATTGTTTGGTATCTGTAATAAAAAAAATTTTCTGATATGTAATCTACGTAACAAAATCTTTAGTACGGTAAATACTTGCAAGTTTAAATGTTCATTTTTGCATAAAAATGCACATAAGCACTTACATTTAAACTCTGCAACTAACTTCCGTTTAGTCCGCACTGATAACGTAAATGATTTACGATACGATAATCTGCTTCTTAACAGGGCCACAGCTGTGTAGTACATAATCGGCACATCGTTATTTGATGCTATGTTTGCGCGTGAGAAAAATGATACGAATCACACGCTTGTGCAGTTGCAATCATCCACAATTGAAAAGCGGTCCACAATCTTTGGCTCAGAATTATTAACAGGATACATTCTTTTCCACGGTTGTATTCACGTCACTACTGAAGCATTGCTCATAAAATATCGCCAGTCTCTAAATTTTTTTCTTGATAATGCTAAACAGAGCCGATCGTTTCACATAAATTTGATGCGACAGAAGGAGAAACAGTTGTGAATTTTATGTCGCTGTTTCGGTCCTCTGGATTATGTGGATTTCCTGAAAATGTGCAACATTTCTATTAATCTGACACGACGAATGACTACACTTCCTGCTTTATTTCTGTACGGTACTAAACCGTCTCTCGTCGCAGTTAAGGTTATTATTATTGGTGAGCAATTAATGGGGTCATCATAAGACATTAACGCTTTATTTAAAACACTAATGCAAAAGCGGTCATATAATACTTGCATTCTAATAGAAAACCTGTACAGAATACTAGGGCCACTTCTATTATATCAACTTTTAACCAGTGTTGTATTTACTAACGCCCCAAAACCTTACTTACTTTTTACTTTTCGTCTGGCCATTGACTTTACTATTTACTTTACTATTTACTTTTCATAATCTTTGTCCTTTACTTTTACTTACTTTTTACGTTGTTTCTCGTAACCTTAACTTACTTTTACTAACTTAGTAATAACTAGTAAAATAGTATTTACTATTCGTGTGTTGCGATAAATCGCAGTACGCAACCAAAGTTTTCAATATTGAATTTTGCCATATTCGTTTCATAAGTATATTACGTATGTAAAACAAAAAAAACTGCTTCTACTCTGGGGCAGTGTGCACACCGATTAATTTTAATTTGTGCTCAGAAATGTTTTTCAACGAAGCGATTTGGTTCTGTATAAAAATACAGCACTTATTTTTTGACAAAAATTAGCAAAAGTCATTACGCCGTGTCCGGTGCCAAGGTAAGTATTGCAGTGAAGCGACACTAGCTTATATGCCTGACATTCACGTATCTCGCCCACCTAAGAGGTTGAAACGTCTGCAGCGCTGCGAAATTTTGGCAATTCAGAAGGAAATCTGTACTGCCAAACATAACTGCTATGGGGAAAAAGCATGTTCACAGAATTCTGTTCATTCCCTTCACTTTTATCTGTTGCGGACGCTTATTAAAAAGACTGATTTACTAATTAAACTATTCCCGTTTCGTGCTTCTTACTTTTACTTTTACTATTTACTTCTCAAGCCACGGCTGCTCTTACTTTTACTTTACTTTTACTTTTCCGTTTTGCTGCTTACTTACTTTTTACTTAATTAGTAAGAGGCAAAAACGGCTTACTAAGTAAGGTTTACTATTTACTTTTACTAACCAAGGCAGATTTTCCGATTCCAAACTCAGAAAAATCTAATCTTTTGCATAAACATAGTATGCCATCGCAGTATATTTAAAAAAATAATTTCAGCTGCTGACACTCAAAGGGCGTGGCCAAACAAAATTAATAAGTAAGTAATACTGCATGTTATTACTCTGCACTAGCGTTATACCCGCACAGGCTTTTTATAAAATGACAGCATATCAGGAAAGTTTCACCTCTTGTGGAAACTTAGTATTTTGCCATTTTTTTATGATTAATGAAAAATTTAATGTGCAAGCGTTAAGACGACAGAGTAGAAAAACCATTTTGTAGCTGCGATTCTTTGCGGTAGTGCAAGAGTACGTACCACATATCGCCACTGTATTTGCATCTGAATTTTGCTTTTTCTCACTGTGTGCAGTGTGCTCCCGAAACTTGTGATAAATATTAAAGTTCATTATTTTTTAAGGGTGCTATAGTCGTACACTGTCATTCGGTAAAAGATGAGAATTTCCTGATTTATTATTATTACACTGATGCAAACAGCTGTTAGAGTACTGCACTAGTGCAGTGCAACAGTATGTGCTATTACTTAATTATTAATTTTGTTTGGCCACGCCATTTGAGTGTCAGCAGCTAAAATTATTATTTTAAATATACTGCGATGGTATACTATGTTTCTGCCAAAGATCAGATTTTTCTGAATTTGGACTCGGAAAATGTGCCCTGGTAAGTAAAGCAACACTGCTTTTAACGCGTATTTACGGAAGAAACATAAGCAGAAACCAAATACGATGAATAGTGCAGCAACATGATAATTGAGGGCTTTGTTTTATGTATTATGAAAAGGTTGATTGCGTGTTAGTTTTTATTTAACACTTAGTTTAAACTTGTAAATTAACCGAATTTCCAGTGTGAACCCTATCTAAAAAACGCACGCGCGTGAAAACCGACCAAATGTTTTCCTTAATTTTTGAACGTAGTTGATTATCCTATTCAACTAATTACCTTCGGTGCATATGCAATTAAATACATTCTTCATTTTTATTTATCCAGATGTTTAATATTCCAGTTTTAAAACAGGTTTATGAGGCCTCATAATGCGGAATAGTGATTTTGGAGTTTCTGCTTTGTCCAGACAACCTAAAAACAATATAGTAAATTCGGCAGGGCAATAGTTGAGCTGAAGTGATTTTACTTGCAGTTGCACTACTGATGAAGTTCGCGGTATTTGTTAAACTTTACTAGGGCGCTACACTTTAATTAATTAAATATCAAAGACCAATAAAGTTTGAAATACAAATTAGTAACTGCATTTGCTTTAACAAATTCTTATCATCCGTTGTGATCACAACTTTTGCCATTATATTGCGGTAGTGATTATAATTTTTAATTTTATCAGTTTACATTGATAGTTTGGTATTATCATATCTAGTTACACAAAAAGATTTTTAAATACATTGCTTACAAAAGTTAAAAATTTTTTGAGATGCAATTTAGGTAAACTGGTAAAAGTTGTGGAAAGAGCAAAAATCTGAATATTACGCCATAATTATGCGCACATTTCGTATTCAATGAAAGGTCATGAAAACACTGTAATTATTATTTCCTTACCTGCAATGTCGATAACGGCAGTCTGCTTATAACGAAAGGTCATCCGAGCTTTACAGTACAGGATGACCTTTCCCTTTCAGCAGCATAGCATAACATCCGAATTAACCTACAGATGTTATGCTATGCTACTGGAAGGGAAAGGTCATCTCTACCTTTATGACCTGTCTCCAGGATTACCATTCTTTCCAGTAGCATAGCATGGCATTTGTAGATAGTTTTCATATCCAAGATGGTCTTTTCCTTCCAGTAACATAGGATCACATCCGCAAATAGATTCCAAAGCCAATGCTAAGTCTATTCAAGTGGCTACAGCTAACTCACGAGAAAATGATTGTTTTAGACGAAAATTGCCCTTAAACAGTCTTGGCCTAGTCAGCTTGGAATTGGTCAGGTACAGGGATTCCATACAGCGGAACCATTCATTATAAATCGTTACGCCAGGATCGACTCCGTGGTATCGATTAAATTCCGGGTACACGCCAAAGACAGCAGCTCCAGACCTTAAAGTCGTAACATGCATAAACTTTCTGTATTTATAACTGCACCTACTATAGTAAATTCGGCAATTACTAAAATTATGTAATAAACTTTGATCGTAGATAAACTACTGAAACGCCATACTATTTAATATGTTGGTTATGTCAACTGTATCTGTTCAATAATTTCTGGTCGTCCTGTAGTACTCGTTTTTTTGGACGCGTTTACGGTGAAGATTATGATTATTCGGGACAGCTAATAATAATAATTTTAGATTTAGTTTTTATTCGATATTATCAAATTTGAGGGTTAAAACTGTTTTGTTCAGCTTGACGTATAATCTAAGTCATCTTATGAACAAGTACGGTTTTGCCAATACACAATCCAGTTTTTTAGTGCACAATTAGCTGGCAGTCGTATTCTATTAAAGCGGTTAGGTAACCCTAAGATTTCTTTTGCAGCATAACTAAATTTGGTGACGATCGCGAAGAATTTTCTACAATCAAAAGCGTAAGGGAAGGAATTTAACTTTTCCGTAAATAATTTGAATTTCACAACAGTTATTTTATTTCAAATACATTTGTAAGAAGCCGCAGCAGTTGGTGGAATGTCTTCGCATAAACCTGGACATCAGAAGGAATTACCACTTTTTTTGAAAACCTGTTAGGTGACACTAGTACTAACGCGTATATTCAACTATACACCTAGATCAGCTAGTACTGTAGAAATAAAATTCCATGCTGTAACGACCTTTGTAGGTAGCCGCAGCATTTGGTGGAATGTCTGCACAAAACGTGGAGATCGGAAGAAATTACCAAATTTTGAAAACCGTTTGAGCAGTTTGAGCAGTCACAGCACTGGAATGTAATAAATTCCGAATTAAAGTTTGCAAAATTGAAAACAAATTTAAAATGATTGAAACTTTAAACAGTGAAAACAGACTGCTCACTCTCCTTAATATAAGATAGTTAATCCATAGGCCTCAAATTAAACCGTCGTCAAATCTCATTGCGTTTTAGACTGCGTAAATGTAATGCATAACCATTTTATAACCAAGCGTCACGTGCAATGCTTTCCTAAAAAATGTTCTATACAAAAGGTTGTACGTCTAATTCAGCGCGATCTAATTATTAACAAGCTGAGCAGATTGTTTTAACTACACCCCGTTTACGCCAAGTTGGCGGTGTGTCATTTTAATTTTCTGGCGAACCCTATGGCGCATGTTTTGCCAGTGTTTTTAAAATTTATAGTGCAGTTTTCTTTTGCGCATTCATTAAACAAAAACGTAATGGATTTTGGGTTGGGGTGTTGCCAGAAACACTTCCCGAAGCGAAGGCACCAAGGGAACAAGTCATGGCAGTGCTGAAACACAATTTAATTCAACCAGAAATTCCGAAACGACTTTAGGCACCTGAAATTGAGGTCAATTTGAGGACCCCCAACAGAGTGATTCGTGAAAAAAAACCAGACGTCAACAACTAGACCGAACCTGCAAAACGCCTAGGGGAGCGAAATCGCTTTTTCGCCAGAACAAAGCGCTAGTTGAAAAAAGGGATGGTGTCCATTGAAAACAGTTACAATGGAGGGCGGCGCGCTTATGCTGAAGATGGTGGTGAAAAAGTTAACGCCTAACACCTCGTGAATCGTATTTTGTGGTGCATGTTCAAGGAGGACTTCCCTCGGCTGCATGGTGACCTCGCAAAGGAGATCGTCCCACACTTTGGCCACGCCCACCGTTATGCCGGTGCCCCGACCCAGGAGGGGCATCAAGTAATAGTTAACAGACATGGCGTCCTAGGACTACGTCATAAACGGGAATTTAAAACGAATTTTATGTGAGAGGAAAGAAACCGAGATAGCTGGACTGCAGCACATTTTGAAAGTGGTCTTCTCTAGTTTAAAAATTCCTGTAATTCGTAACAAGCTCAAATCCTGGAAACCCAAATTGCAAATGGTGTTGGATAGATTCAGTGATCCCATAAAAGTTAGAAAACGTTAAATATATTGTCTAGTGGTTCATGGGAATTTTTAAATGGACACCGCCAACTTGGCGTGAACGGGGTGTAATCTCTCAAAAGTAATTACGTTTTCATTCCTCGTCTTTTACATGGTACGTAATTTAATTTAATGCAGCATGCAGTGCAAATTGCGTTTAAAACCTCCCTACTCTTAACATGGTTAAACGCTTAAAATCAACGTTCATAACATGTATGTACTATGTACCTGTAGTACATCAACCTAACCATTTGAAAAAATACACATAGTGCCCATACCCCTGTATTTATTCCATGTAATCAACTTATGTAGAGAACTCAATAGAGAAAGTTTACTTTTGTATCTCATTTCACATTAATGTCTAAAATAATTTGATGCCGGAATTAAGCGTTTTAATTTACTTAATTATTTAAACTCACACTTTGAGTTCTATGTCTTTTTTAATCAGGTTCAGGTTATAGCTGTTGACCATTACCCAATATCAAATGCACAAACACGTACTTATGGCCACGCATTCTGCACGTGCAAAACTTTCATTTTATTGGCAATATACCAAACTACTTTATGTTTTCTTAACGGGAAACATATAAAGTGGGTTTATAAAAGAATGAGTGTAAGTTAGGTGCACCTTTTCGTATATGCAGTAAAAACTGCAAAGACAGCATGCACTTGAACTAAATTAGGAAATGTAAAAAAATGCGGTAGTACAGTTACCTTCTTCTGCAGGTCTTCATTTCAAGAAACGGTTAATAAATGTGTGTTAGTAATTTAGGAATCGGCCATTTTCGCTGCTGATAATTATAAAATGTCGCAACGTAAACACGCTTTGTTGACGCAACATATACGTGCGTTACTGTTCAACTTTTATGATAACACAGCCCAGTACGCTTATTTGTTTTTCGCATTTATTGGTGTGTTTTTAGTTTGCTAGACAATACATATGATTTCTATGCGTTACGTCAGAGTTAAGTTTTTTAGCTGCGAGTTACGCTTCAAAGTTTCGTTAAAACTCAAAAAACTTACCAGTAACGCGTGTTACGTTATCAAGTTATATGTTATAACTACCCAAGTCTGACGTCACATACTTTCTTCTTTACATTTTTTAGAAACATGTCTATACTAGGGCGATCGTGTGCTTACGTAATATTTAAATTTGAACCGAACTGCATGGCGATTACCATGAGAATTATGAGTCTTGCATAATGCGTAATTACAACCTGCACTGGGTAAGCAAAGTACACTTCGCATGCGAACCACGCCCTCTATATAAAATATTAAACCATGCAAGCGTACGGTTCTTAAAATTAAAATTACCGCTTTATGTGCTACTACGAAAAAATACACAGACTGCAAACACAGTTACTTACACCTAATTTTTTCATTTTACATACAACCTTAAAAACTCAGAGCCGCATGAGAATTGCATAATAAAATACAAAGGATTCGCATACTATCACTCGTATTTGTGCTTAAGCATCGCATCCACGGACTATTTGAACCACCTTGTTAACGTACGTAACAGATTGGGTTAATTAATTTTGCAAATCAATCTCTAGACTTTCAACTCTATGTTAAGTTGCACTTCAGGTTAGGTTTCTTGATGATCTAAAAATATCCACACGAAATAGCAAAAGCATAAATACGTACGTGCATCTTTGCTCTCGCAAAGTGCGCGTTGACTTTTAAATTTTACTATTGTAGCACAGTACGCCTACTTAATGTCCGCTGTTCTGAAGCTTCTTATTAATTGACTTTCTTCTTATTTCATTTCAACATGTTAGTCACTGTTATCTAGGGCTATAACTGACAGGCCATCACATATTGGCTTTCAAGCATTGCACACATGCTATAGGTAACCAAAGTTCTGCTAATGCATTACATAAAATTTAATTGAAACTTATTTGTCGATTTTAGACTTGTTATTTCGGTTCTAAATTAATGTGTACTAACTTGCTAAACTTGACTACTATGCGATATAAAATGCGTAAGCGCATTGACGTTTACCCGGTAGGCTAAAACGACTTTCGAGCTCACGTCACGCACTGAGGTTGCTTAATTTTTGCAATTTATTTGCAGATTTTCATCTTCTCATTTTACTTGCAAGTCGCTTTTGAATGTAAGGCAATCTGTGAATAATTGTTGCGTAATATCATAAATGCAATAGCTTACTGGGCATGCACCGTATACTTATTGCAAAACATCCTACCATCTCTGATTTTTATTTCTTATTTGCAATTCCATTTTATTCTTCTTTTGTCATTGCACATTGCTTACTCTTTGTTTTACATTGAAAATTTTACATGATCTTATTAGAATGACGGTACGTACAACAAACGCTGCAACCTTTTATTTAAATGCGTGCTAAGAGTTTTGCATTATCAAAGTCTGCAATTTCAGCTTTTGCTCAATGATTGAGAGCTGTATGCGCAGTTGTATGTATACTTTATCGACCTGCCAACCTACATGCATGTGAAATTACTCTGCGTAATAAAACTGAGCGCTAAAGAAAGTCCAAATCTAAATGACTGCGAGAATGGGGCCAAGCGCAGCAACGGAAAGCGGACAAGGAACAAAGTGCGTAAACGACGCTGGTCAGTAAAGTGCGTAAATGACGCGCTTAACATACTTACTTGCAGCGTCACTGCAAACGCGTCCGATCACTTTGGCCGCGTTACATTTCGGCCGCACAGTTCACTTCGGTCAACTTTTATTTTGGCCAACACTAATTCGACCAACGCTCATTTCGTCAAGTGTACGTTTCGGCTATCATAGGTTTCTTCAGTTTCCTACGTTTTTTGGGTTTTCTTAGTTTTTAGGCTTTCTTAAGTTTTCTTAGGTTTTCTGAGGATTTTCAAGTTTATTATTAGGTTTCTTAGGTTTCTCGTTCTCGTCATTTTTTGCCATGCGCAATAATCCCACTCCATTCCGACAGCCGCGGAAGTTCACAAACGGTAGCATCTCATACTCTACATATATAAGTTGATTATGCAAAATAACGGCGCTGTAAAACCCCATAGCATTTGAGCAGCACGGGTATTAATTTCATGCACGGATATTAATTTTACCCTTTTATGCATGAAGGCTGCGCTTTAATTAATCATGAAGTGTGTAGAGCACGTAGAACTACATCTCACTTGG